AATTGATTAAATAACGTGTCTTCCTCAATTAAGAAGAACTTCCATAATAATAATGGCAGTAAGTTATTGACTATTTCTGTACACTGCAGTATTCAAAAAAGTAAAATTGAATTTCAGTAACGTGAAAGATGTCACTTTTCCTGAGCACAAGAGTCACATGACCTTGCAAAACCAAGGAGCAGTAAGTAGCAGTGAAAGGAATTAGAGGCTTAGAAGGTGTGCATGTGTCCTGATTAAAAGTACACAGTGGTGTCCGTCAGATCCGTATAAGATACTTTGGATGCTTGAGGACTGAGGACTTTTCACCCCAGATGATGCTGCAAATACTGTGTTTCAGAGGGTTACAAGAAGTACAAGGTTTCCTTAGTGGAGAGACTCTAAAATGGCTTGAGGAGCATTTGAGAACCCGTGATGGACGTGCAGCTTCCGTCGCTAGTCTTTCCTGTCACAACGCACGTTTGTTGAGTGCCAGTTATGTACGTGCCAGGTCACTAGGTAATTTAAATGAGGTGGAGACCCCCCATCAAGGCAGGCGTAGTCCAGTGGAGGAAGCAGACCCACAGACAGGTGAGCGAAGAGGGCCTGGGAAGGAGTCAGTGGTGCCAGGTGTCAGCTTGGTGCCAGACGTCCCGGGCTGGAGAGAGAGCTTGACTGTCATCAGCTCCCCTGAAAATCGATGCATTAGATGCAGACAGCTCGAGCCTAGGGCTGCCAAACCCTTAGGACTGAAATGTAACTGCGCTACGCGTAGTAGAACGGTGCGAACACGCTAAGCGCGCCGTATCATTGATCTGAAACCTGCTAGAGGCGAGAGGAAATATGATCATAGTAGTGATGATGATAGTCACTATAATGAGGCCAGTTCGCCGCCGCTCAGGAAGGGAGCAGCCTCCGGTGGATGCTGTCAGCGCTGAACGGGACAGAGAGGCATCCTGTCCTCATAAACGCTCACCCACACACTGCTGGCCAGGTGTGCGTGCCTGTGTGTGTGCGTGTCCCTATGTGTGTGCCTGTGGATCTGTGTGCTTGTGTGCGCATCCTGCTCTGTGACTTGTTCTTTGAGAAGGAAACTGGAAGGAAGAAGGGTGTGGGATAACTAGAAATTAACCTAACTATGTCCTAAATCAACCATACTTCGATTTTAAAAATAAATAAATTCAGAGAAATTGCGAAAAAAAAAAAGAAAAAGGGGAGAGAAAAAGAAGGGCATGGGATAAACCAGAAGTTACCAGGCTAGACTCAGATTCTGGAGCAGAGTTCCTCTGAGGTAATTTATGTTTCTGAGAGACTCGCTGCTTTTCCATTAGCGGCTTGCTCAGATGTGCAGCTGTGCTGATGGCGGCTGAGTGATTCCTGGGCACCCTAAGAAGTGTGTTAAGAGATTTTTACTGCTTTGCAGCTCAGGGGAATGTTTTTCTGTATCCTCCCAAGCCAGAAACGAAAAATCAAACCTAACACCTATCAGAGCGAATCTATCCCAAGTTCTTCATACGGATACAACAGGGTCCAGTCACCCTTCTGTTGTTTAATTGATCATCAGATTAAAACTCAGAACAGTAAATTAATCTGTCTGAAGTTGTACAGTTAATCAGACAAATAACATGTATTCTAGTGGCTGTGTTATTAGCTGTTTTAATTCTCATGTCTTTTCACCCCCTAGTATATTTGGAATAAATAAATGTCCATTTGCTGCTTCTCCTAGAAATGAATGTACTTTGTGTACTCTGGAAAATGCCACACATTTTCTTTGCCCCCCACCCATTCATATATTTTGTTTATATTTCATCTGAATCTATGAGGTTGAAATAAGCTGTAAATTATTTAGCCAACTTTGTCACACCTGGGATCCACAGAACACAAAATTGGATTTCCTCCAAGTCTTTCTCAAGCTAGGAAATTCAGCCACGTCCATGACATTATTTTCCGCTGACTTTACAACTTTTGGCTTGGCTGATCGACTTGGAGTCCAAAGAAATACATTCTTGAATATTTTCTCTTTCTCTTGACTGGATGGGAAAGAGGGAAGATTATCATCAAATTAATTTGAGAATAAAGATTTTTTTCATGAATATTATTTTTCTCAAGATAAGTAATGAAACTTCACTGAATTTGGGTGCTGTGCCACTGTCTTCAGTTGAATGTTTTCGAAAACAAAGAAAAACACCCTAAAAGTCAGCCCCTGGCAGCAATGCGGAGTGGTGGCCCCTAAGCTCGCAACTCACAACTCCAATACTGTGGACTTGCGCTGATCAAGAAATCTTTGTGATGAACCAGCCTCACTGAGCCCCACTTACCTCGTTTTATGGCTGAGGCACGGAAGCGCTAACTACACGTCTGCTGTAAGTGACTAGATGTGTTGGTGGCAGGGCCACACCTTGAACCTGGACATCAACTTCTGGACACTGACTTGCTTTTCTTTTTATGCATGTGGCACCGTTTACTAGCTCCCTGTTACCTCTAGGTAAAGGTCAGCTCCACGTGGGGCATGGAAGACCCTTGTGATTTGTCACCTGCCAACACGGACAGGGTCATTTCCTGCTTTGTACGTTCTGTGTCTTCTCCCTGGAGTGCACCTAGCGGTAACCACCTCCCACCTCCCCCAGCTCCGCCATATTTACCTTGTGAGCATTCATTCAATTTTCAAACTCAGATTGTCACCTCCACCAGGAAGCCCTCTTACCGTCTTCTCTTTTCACACCCAGTTTTCTCTCTTGCCTGGTACATTTATTCACTTACCGATTTATTCAGCAAATATTTCTGAGCACGCACGAAGTGCCAGGCACTGAGCTGAGCACCAGCCACGAGCCGGTGAACACAACTGACCAGCTCCTGTCCTCATGGAGCTTAGAGCCTGGGGAGACAGTAAAGATGGGGAGCACACAGATGAGTATGTAATGAGAATATCAGAACCGGGATGAGGGCCACGAAGGAAGTAAAGACTGTGCTTGGAGCCGTGGCACCATCTGCAGCAGCAGCGAGCGCCTGGGGGACCCCGCCCAGCGCAGAGGCCCCGGGAACAGGGAGGGAGGCTCGCGGGGTGGGCATCTGTGGTCCCTGGATCCCCGCCTTCTCCCGACCCCTGGCTCCCGGAGCGCTCAGGGTTCTGCTGGGTAAAGGACATAGATACATGACATGGGAGTGAGGAAGGGTCCTTTGGTCAGGAAAAAAAGTGAAATCGGGGGTGAGAAGGCGATGCCTCTTTCGGATCCGCAGTGAGGGCTGTTCTCGAACAACCGCGATGAGCGGCGGGGAGGCAGCTCATTGGACAAAACACGATCCAGGAACGTGGGGAACGGTCTGAATTTTGTAGGATTAATAGTGTTAAATTCTCTTTAGAAATTTCTATGGGAAGGTACAGGAATACTTTCATAAGAAGTGTTTCCGTTTTTGAAAAGAGTTGAAAGAAGCGTTCAGCTGTCTCTGCAAAATTAAAGTGGACCCATAAAAGAACGTCAGCCCAAACTCAGCACGCTCAGAGTTCATGAGGGACACGCCACACGACGTTCATTTAATTGTAGCAAGAAGTACTTGCTCCTGATGTCATGGGATTCTTTTGAAGGAGTTTATTCTTTTTAAAATTATATAAACTTTAGGTTCTTGAACTGAAAGGTGCTTTGTAAACTCAAAGTATAATCCAAATTACCAAGATGGCTTCCAGGTATCTTTTTACCTGTTCACCTGCTTTTTCCCTGTCGATTTTAGTGGGTCATAGAAAACACAACATTATTGCATCTGTTTGAGTTGAAGGCTTGTTATAAAAGCTTCTTTATCCTTTTTCTTTCATCTTTTCATTTTAAAAGAGTGTGGTTACTTTAGGTAAAGAAATGAGATAATTACTTACAGAACCGTTCACTGTGTAAGGGCAATAGCCGAAGTCACATTTGTTCATGTGAACTCGCTCTCAGTATGTTCAGTCAACAAAACGGGGATTTTAATAAAATCCAGGTGACAGATTTCTGAAAAGATGTTTAAAATCTTTTGCTTTGTGTGCTTAAAGTATTAGTAGTTTGTATTTGGGATTCTTATTTATGTCTTTAAAATTCTTTTGTTTAGTCTTTTACAATTATTAAAAGTAATAGGCTGTTTTAAATGTTTCTACGAAACTGTGGTATGGAAAGTTCTATTTGGTTTTCTTCTTAAACTTCTTTTAAAAAGGAAAAAGCCAGTACATTCAGGTTTGTTTTAAATAGTCAGTGTGTCTGTTTGGAAATGCAGAGCACTTTTTACAGTTCTCATTACAGCATATTATTAGTAATTAATAGAAATTTTTGTGTTAATTATGTGACAAAAATCTTTACAAATTAATATACAATATAAGAGAAAGGTGTTTTGTCAATGTAATGAATTATTGTAATGTATTTTGATTGTAAAAAATTTCATGAAATAAATACTTGCCTAGCGGCTTAATTTGAAAGATGCTAAAAACTCCTCAGCTCAAATGATCTCCCTCACTGGTGCCCCAGATTTGACCATTTGCATTTAATTTCCTTCATGCTAATCTTTGCCTCTCCTGGTGGGCTTTGTTTTTGTTTTTCCTTTGTTTTCTGTTTGTTTGTTTTGTTTTTAATGTGTTGTTCTGTTTCTGAGGGGACAGTAATTCTCCGTGATGCCTTAGCGAGCTTGATCCTACCCAGCTGCTCTGCTCCCTGGAGTGGGTTGCCTGGGGGGACAGGGGTTCTGAAAGGAGCCCGACCAAGAAGCAGGGTTGCTGCAGGGCCGGCCCCGAACTAGGAGCAATGGTCACCATCATGTTACGCAAATAGCAGGCGTTTCTGGGTGGCAAATGTGTGTCAGGGGTACGTGTGAATATTTTGAGGAGCCAGAGAGGTTTGAGCCTGAGGGTCTTCTGCAGTGAGTTCAGCACACTGATCAAAGGGTTTGCCTTGGTCTGATTTAGTCTTTCCTTCAGTGAGAACTTGGAAATGAAAGAGACAATGAAATACTGCCTGAAGTGGGAATGAAAGCCAGATTAATTTGTCGTCCGCTGTTGTGTGTTTCAGAGGCTGGAGCACAGGGAAGTCCTGGCCGGCTTGCTGTTCCTGGTTTTCCCGTTCATCCCGGCCAGCAACCTCTTCTTCAGGGTGGGTTTCGTGGTGGCCGAGAGAGTCCTGTACATGCCTAGGTAATTACTGCTCCTGCTTTCCTTTTTCTGAGACCTGCGCTCTGTCACCAACGCTGATGGCTCCAGAGAGACCACCCTCTGTGTGGCTGACAGATCCTTGTGGAGTCAAGGTGTCTATTACCTCAGCTTTAAAAGCAGCCCCGGAGGAGGCTGGATGAGATCAGGTCTGTCAGTGTTGACTCCAGTTCACAGCACTCACCTCCGGGTGAGCTCCGTGTGAAATGCTGACTTGAGTAGATCCAGGATTTTAGTGGCAATCATTGACTCTGACTTCTTTGTCCAAGTGTCTGTTTATTAAACAGAATTATAGTATCTTTCTAGAAATGTTTGTTGATTTGCATGAAAGTATTAACTATGATAAGTAGCATGATTTTAATTAACTTCCATCTCTTTCTCTGTCTTTCTGTCTTTCTTGGTTCTTTAATTTAACAACAGGAACAATCTCAAGGAAACTTGTCCTTGAGAGGAAAGAAAAAAGGTTAAAAATTATGAAGGGCATTCAGACATGTGTGGTTACATAATGCCACTTAGCTCTGAATATTTGAACTGCGCTGAAGCTCGTCTGCTCTCTTGTCTTACTCAAATGTCAGCATTCCAAGGCCATGTTTCTTTTCAGATGCCTGGAAATGTCCCTGAAATTGTTCTGCCATTTATCCATTGTGTGACCTTGAGCAGGGACGAAATTTGGGTGGGGGCACATGTGTTGTCTCATTTTTAAAACAGGGATTTTACTAAACTCCCTAAAATTAAATACTTTTATGAATTATGTGTAAGAATGAACTTTCCTAAAAGGCAATAAAATCAACACAATAAACCAAAATATTGTAAGGAAAGAATTATTTTTTATGTATTCATATTGAGTTAGAAATTTAGTTTGAAATTTAATTTAAATAAAATTAATTGGAGTATTAATTAATAAAATTTAATTTCATTTACTGATGTTGAGTTAGAAATTTAAAACTACATATATTTAGAAATGAATTTTGATCAGGGAGGGTGTAGCTTAGTGGTTGAGTGCGTGCTTAGCATGTACGAGGTCCTGGGTTCAACCCCAGTACCTGCATTAAAAATAAATAAGTAAACATAATTGCCCCCCAATTTTTTTTAAAAAAAGAAATGAATTTCATAACCTTTGTTGCCCTCAAACTAAGTACCTAACAGCTTAAGTCTTCACAGCATCTTGTTTTGACTTGGTTTAAGAGGAGGGTGGCCCTTAATTTTACGTGTCCACGGTACAATTTAGGAAGCAGAGTATTTCTAAGTACTATTTGATAAGGACAGAAATGCAACTCAAATTCTTTGCATTCCGCATTGCCTAGAGATAACGGCTTACGAGGCCTTGCCAGGACGAAGGAATATGAGGGGCAGAGGAGGACTTCGGTGTCTGCTCTAGATGTGTTAGCTTAGAGCAGCTGAGGAGGGTTTGGTCAGGTTTTGTCGGTGGTACTGATGATTCCAAGTGGAGTTTGCATTCATTCTTCACGTAACAGATACTCCCAGAGCCCCTGTCCCCGTCAGGCTCCATTAGAATCTGCGGCTACAAAAATAGGTGAATCTCAGTGTCTTCCTTCAAAGCGTTTTTTAACTGCTGAATAAAAATAGAACAGCATCTTTCACTGTAAACATCTAACAGGTCCAGGTAGTCTCTAAAATAGCATCGTACTCAGTAAACATGAATTGTATCGACACTTTCAGTGAACCTTTGTTGTATGTGGTGACTGCAGTAAGCATGTTATATTTATTTTATCAGTGAATTTGGGCTGCACGTGCTGGGTCCCAGCGCGTTCCTGCAGTCAGCCTGGGGTGTGAGCGTGATGTCCCGGAGCCTCAGTTTCCTCACCTGTGTAAAATGAAGATTATCGCACCCAATTCAGTGAGATTTTGTGAGCATTAGATAAGATGATTATATAAAAAAGCCTATGAAGTGTTTTGAATTGTACCTTTTCAGTAAATATCAAGGATTATTACTGTTGCTATCAGCTTCCTAAGGTAGCTGATCCCATTGTCCCTATTTTACAAAACTAAAACCTGGGCTCTGAGAAGTAACTTGCCCAAGTGACACAGCCAGTAAGTTGCAAAACTGTAGAATATCCATCCTCGTCTGCTGGCGAGTCTCCCACCTTCCGGGTGACACTGCTTCTCTGAGGGTAACATCTCAGTGTTCTTCTCAACTGGAAAAGGAGAAAAGGTGAACCTGGTAAGGTCCCTTCAGCTCAACTCCATTTGGAAGTCAATGTTTAGTATTTCCAAGAGTCCTGAGGTCTGAATCCTTCGGACTTGGGGTTCTGGGAGTGTTACCTCAAAAGGGGAAGGGAAAAGGCCCCAGTTCTTGTCTTACCCGAAAGATAAGAATTCAGATGGGAGACAGGAGCGTTGTGTAGGGAAAGATTTTAAAGGTTTTATTAGCAAAGGAAAAAGTACACCTCCAGGAACGGGACGTGGGCGGATCCGGGAGGAAAAGCAGCGGTCTTCGCTTGTCCCCTTTCTCACACACCCTCGCTTAGAGGTGATTTCCTGATTGATCGACTGCTCTCGCCCCTGGAATGCGCAGTCACGGTTGTCCCCTTTTGTGCGTGTCCTTCCCCATAGTGCACACAGAGTGCATAGTGCAAACCCGTGGCGAAGGGTGGGGGCAACCTCAACCACAGTGCTAACCGCATTACAGTGAGCACTGGGTCACGTCTGGTTAGGTCCTTGTCACTGCCTCGCGGTTGTGGCTGTCAGGTTGTAACCGGTTTTCTCCCGGCGCTCATTTAGAGAAAGTCAAGCCCCTTTATGCTGGAGGCGGGCATAACGCCATCTTCCGGACCCCCCTCCCTCCCCTCCACCTGTCTGCCCGGTGCCCCCACTTGCCTAACTGCCTAATAGGTACACAAGCAGCGAACTTTTCTAATACAAATTCGAGAAAATTTTTGAGGAAGTAAAGGGCTGGAGTTTTAAACTAGAGGTTAAAATTTAATTCTCCTGGAAGAGACCCTCAGGTAAACATTACAGAAGCCCATAATGTTATCAGCCATTTGTGAGCTGTCTTACTGACAGTAAGGGGTTTCTGTCACCCTGGGAGGTGTGTCTTCCAAACACCCACAGAATCATGCCGGCTCTGGCTCTTCCTGCGCTGCCGTGTCTTAAATGGACCTTCTCTGACTCCACTTCTTTCTTCTGAGACGGACAGAGTCGTGCCCCTGTCCTTTTAAACTAGGAATTAGCTGATTCGGATTAAAGTAAAAGTTTGAAATATGAAGAAATTATCAGTATTGCCAAGAGCACGTGCCTGCCTCTTGGAACCTAATTGAATTTTGCTGTCTTTGGCAAACTTGGTGCAGAGTCATCCAGAATCGATTTCAGGAAATGAGTCTTCATTAAAAAAGATAACTGTCCTTTTCTGTCCCCAAGTTCCTGCATCTACGCGTTGACGTGCTGATGCCAGGTCATCGTCCGAGGGTTTCTCTTTACTGCCCAGTGTCTCCTGGATTCAGATCCGTATCATCTCTGTGCCCAGCTAGGCCTCTCTCCCCGCCCGGAGCTGTGGTCCCGGCAGATGCCAAGGCCATGCGACGGACGTTGAGGCCTCTCCTGTCCCTTAGAGAGGGTCCTGGAGGCTGATGAAGAGGGCACATCACTAGACCGGAGAGTTTAAGTCAGATCTGGGGAGTGGGGGGTGGGATGGGGTGGAGGAAGCCCAGGAGTTTTTGAGAGAGATGCTGCATGTCTCACAAACCCCCATCTTCCTTCAAGGCCATCGCTGTAACTTGCACCACCAGCTGCGATACGGCAGTGAGTCCTTGTCACCTAAAATTATGCAGCTGAGTCAGAAATTAAAGCCTATATGGGGAAACTTGTGTACTTGGCTTTAGAGAGCTTCTAATGACTTCATCAGAGCCAGTTTATAAATGTTGACAGTTTTCATGAAAATGGGGACTTTCTCGGAAAAGGCTGTTCCCACGAGACCGGCCGCCTGGTCTCAGTAGAGAATGGCAGACAGTTGGGCGAGGAGTGACTGAAGTCTTCCTCAGGGCTGCACAGAGCATTGTGGACGCTGCAGGCATCCGAGCACCAGGTGATGTGTGGTGCATTTGATCAGCCTACACGCTGCCCTCGATGATGCTGAAGAATGTATCCAAGCCTTTCACACACACAGGTATCTTCTCTGCACGGCTCTCCTTCCATTATTGACCTTGACAAGAAAGAGCCCCTTTCCACAGCATTTGTACCCAGGTGCTTTGAGAAAAAATGTACACAGCATGCCCCGTGGCCTTCCTGAAAATACAGATCACCGTCTTTATGCAGAAATTCTGTATCATGTCAAACTTTAGCAAACAATAGAAAAATGAGGTGAAAAGCTCAATTGGTAATCCTTCTGAGGAAGATGAACTTCCTACTCATTAAATATTTCAAGTTAAGGAGCCAAGTCCCAGCCTTAGGGTCCCATCCATGAGTAGGACCGAAGTCACGTCTGCACTCCCTGACGCCTGGGCAAGTCCCAAAGGTCCCCGGGGGGCTGGTTTGGCCATTTTGCAAGAAAAGCCCCAAATGAGTCAGACCAACAGTGCTCTTTCATCCTCCGCCTTCCTGCCTAACAATGAACAAGCCACCTAAATCCTGTAGCTGCTTTTCTTTCTCCATCCTAACCTAGAAAAGACCCAAAATTTCACCTTGCTCTCACTTGCACTTTGAAATCTGTGGATAAAAGGGACAGAAATGGTCTGTCTATTGAGCACCGCATGGCTATGAGGCCAGAGCTTTCCCACCAAAAGGAATTGGAATAATCTTTCCTTCTGGTAATAAATGCCAATGTCCCTTTTGAACAGGCAGGAGAATTTGGGGCTGAAATCATTCTCTTACGGAAGGTTTGATCTCTTATTCTTATATCTCACGAGAGGCATAGAATTTTATGGCTACTTTTTGTTTGGATTTTATAAAAACCACGTTAGAATGTTCCAGAGGTCTAACATTTCTCAGAATTGATGAAGCAAAAATAGCTGTTGAGAGCTCTCAGGTAA